TTATCTCCGGTGGGACTCCACATCATTATGAAGCTTAATATGAGCGTAACTCCTGATTCTTTTTCCTGCACTGACAAGGTAGTAGGTATTGTTATGTGATCATAAGTAGTTTTTCTCTTTAATTTATGGAAAATACCATGAAAGTAGGTACGGAACAATTTCTGCCTCTTTAGGAGCACTTCAACGTACCAGTTTCAAAGGAACACTGATTATAACCAGTCAAATTATAATACGCCAGTACACCGGTACAAACTTAGTAGTAAAAGTATATTCATTATGAAGAGAAAACCCATCTGTTCTCCCTTCATATGCAAATATTTTTCAATAATTATATTAACAGAACATTTTTAAAAAGTAAGATGGAAGCTATTTTTAAATATTATTTTCAAAAATTTTATTTTACCAAATTTTTTCACAGATATGTACAAAGGTCATACACAATGCCATAATAGGAAATGCTTTAATAACAACTATAATATGAAATATAAAATTTCAGAAAGCTGTCAAATTGAAAGACAAAAGATGTTTTACTAAAGTCATTTCCTGAACAAATAGATGAATTAATTAACTATAATTTTCAATTCACTGACATTTGTTATATGTGCATGTGAGTACAGGTGCCCATAGAAGTCAAATATATTGAAGCTTGGGCTACAGGCAGTTTTGATACAAGGAAACTCTCTAGTATTCTTTATCATCAGTAAGCATGTAATATCTGAGAGGTTTCTTTAGCCACACTACTTTCTTTTCGTATTAAAAAGAAAATGTAATATTATTGACAAAACTTCAAAAATTGGACTGTATAATTTATTAATCAGCGAGGGGGCTATATAATCAAAGTAGTATCATAAAATTCTTCTAGAAAGTTTTGAGAAAAATATTATTCATGGAAACAACATTTCTGTTTTTGTGAACCTACAAGGGAATTTTTGAACTACTTGCTCTTTTGAGCAATTCCTTATTAGTAATGGAAACAGATTGAGAATGCAACATATCTTAAAAAATGAAAAGGTAATCACAATGCACAAAAATATGTTGAAGCATAATTTAAAGGGACATCTTAGATTCAGAAGGAGAATAGATCATTATTATTACTCATGGTAAAAGTAAGTTTTAAATATTGACCCAATAATATTTAGTTTTGTGTACAGATGGAAATCAATTTTTAAATATCTCTAGATCCCATCTAGGTTTTTAAAAATAACTAGTTACATAAATACAGTATATGTTTCACAAGATTTCAGCCAGTATCCAGATTAATTTAAAATAATATCTACTGAAATTTGAAAACTTGGAATTTTCAATTGCTTCATCCTCTAAATATGAACAAAACATTCAATGGCCAATATAATGACTTCATTTTTATTAGAGGAGAGCAATGGTCACTCCTAGTATTTAAACAAAATTTGATATATACATATGTAAGTTTTTAATGCATATTACATCAGCCTTATTATGTTATCTAAAGTCATGTTATTAACAATTTTATCTTTCTTGATTTCTGTTGACATTAGGGATTGAACCTAAGGCTGCATCTTTAAATACAAATAAAATAAATTCATTTAAAGAATTCTGAATGAATATGTACATTTTAAATATCTAATTAAAAGTAGAAAGTCGTTTACACAGATATATATATATATATATACTTTTAAATACTTTACAATTTCAAATATATTCTGTAATGTTTAGAATGTATAATCATTTTCTATAACTATAAATAATATACTACCTTGTCTTACCCAGTTTAAAAGATTATTTAAGGATTGAATGCTCATTCTATGTAATCTTATTTGAAAAAGTATTAGTAACAAGACATATGCAAATGAGTCTGGTTTTTTCCTTCTTAAAAATTATATTTCTCCACCTTTGCATTCATATTAATTCATCATCTAAATGAAGAGATTAAAATATGATGAGAAATTGGATAGATGGCTTCTGAAGATCTGGTTCATGTCCAGCACTCATATCAGAGATACACAAGCACCTGTGGTCTCATTTCCAGATGATCAGAACCCTATTCTGGTCTTTGTGGCCATTTGCACAATTGTGGTATACATTTACATTTGGATACAAACAAGTAAATACAAAGTAAAAAAATCTTAAAAAGTAATGAAAACATAAATGAACTACAATGAGCAAGTTATTATTTAAAAGCCCATATGTTTAAAATTCTGCATCTATAATGTCCATGATACTTAAAGGACTTTCAAAAATTACAGTTTATATCAGGTTACTTAATATGCTTATATCAGTTATTTTAGTCTATCCAATATTTGTTTATATCCATAAAACTAATTTTTAGCACATATGTGGATATTTCTTTGTTTCTATTAATTACTTTATGTATAAAACTTGAATCTGGAGCAAATTTTAAATTCATGAAAGTTTAAAAATATTTTATTTTATGAATAATTTATTGAATTTTGTGTTTTTCCAACTTACTATGCTTTCTACATGTTCAAAAATTATTTTATTATCGTTAATAAATTTATGTATAATGACAATTTCATTACTTTAAAAAAATTGATCATCTCAAAGGTATTGTGAAAAAATATTTTGAATGATATTACATTTGTTTCTGCTGTTGAACATTTTTTAATGATGAAATAAAAAGATGCATTGCATTCTTCCACATTGCATTTGTTTAAATAGGTGAGGTTGTTATTTTGCCTGTCTAAAGCACCTCATAGGCTAATAAAGAACTGAGCCATCAATACTGAGGCAGGAGTAATGATTGGAAGGTTTGGTAAACAGAGAGACTAAATAGGAGGCAAAATCTGGGGAGAAGAAATGAGAAAATGAGTGAGAAATGAGCAGGGTAGAACAAGGAGAGGGAGATGTCAGGGACCAGCCACCCAGTCAACAACAAAATAAGAGTGAAAGTAAGATATACAGAAGTGATAAAAGGCAAAAGCCCTGAGGCAACAGGTAGTCCTGAGAATTTAGATAAGGAAAGCTTGTATGAAACAAGCCAAGTTAGGCCGGACAATCATAAATAATAAGATTCCCTGTGATTTATTTGGGAGCCAAATAGTGGGCACCCCAAAAGGGCAAAAAGAATGAAAAATAGCACAAGGGATTAAAAGTAAAAACAATATTTTTAGTGTCTTCTGTCTAGAGATAAAATGTGAAACCTTGTTTTTAAATTTGCTATCTTTTTTTCTTAATTCTTTGGGCAACTGCCACACAGCTCCCAAATAAGTACATGGATACATATATTATTATTTATGAATGCACGGACTTACCTTAGCTTGTTTCTACCCAGATTTTCTAACTTAAATTATCTCCCTTCTCTTTGGAAATTGCATCTGGGCTTTTCACCTTTCTTCATTCTATATAGCCTTTTTGCTTCTTACTCCATGACTGCCTGGTAACTGCATGGCTGTCCCCTGATGTTTCTTCTCCTTGCCTTATTCTTGTTCCTTGATTCTTGCCTAGGTTTCTCCTCCTATTTATTCTTTCTGACCACCAGCCTAAACTATTTCTGTCTACTAATTAGCTATTGGCCATTCAGCACATTAGACCAATCAGGTGTATTAGGAAGGCAAAGTAACATTGCTTTATAGAGTTAATTGCAACATAAAAATGCAGCAAAATTTTTCATCATTAAATAAACATTCCACAGCATAAACAAATATAACACATCTTAAACAAATATTCCCCAAAATTGCATTTATAATATTTTACTTATTTTTTTAATAAAAGTTAGTAATAATTTAATAATATTCTTTCCTCTCCTTTAACTCTTCCCAGATCTTCCCTACATATCTATCCAATCAACACCATTTTATTTCTCTTCCTATCTCTCTAAGAAAAGCAGATCAAATATAATAAGCAAGCAAAAAATCAACACACAAAAAGTACAGAAACAACAAAAAATGAACACATATACACATAAAACAAATTACTCCTGGGAATGGAGCGTAATCTGGAGTTTTGTTGATATACCCAGTCTGTTCCAATGGAGAAAATTGACTTTTCTCTTTCCCACTAGGTATCAATTGTAAGCAGTTTCTTTTTTACGGTGGGATTTTTTATTTTTGTTTCCAAACAGTCTTCTCATTTCACATACCAATCCCAGCTCCCACTACCTTCCCTCCTCCCATCCACTCCTTAGAGATGGTAAGGCTTCACATGGAGAATCAATGAAGTCTGGTACATCTCTTGGAGGCAGGGTGGGACTTTTAAAAACTGACATAAAACAGGAATGTGATGATAATATATTGTTGAAATTCTCAGTCTAATTTCCCCTCCACTGGAGTTAGAGTTCTTATTTCTCCTGAAATACTTGGAAATGATTTTCTCTATTAAACTATAAAAAAATAAAATAATATAAAATGTGATATCATTTAGTATATGCACTAAAAAGTAAATGAAGAATATGGCAGATTTTAGATAAAATTGTGCAAAAATGGAAAATTCCTTGCTTTCCTAACAAAATGACAATTATTATTTTCATCCAGAAAAAGGTGTAATTTAATGTTTTCTACTTAGACAAAATTTTTAATAAAGATAAAGAACACAAAAAATGATGCTTTTACATTCTAGATATTAGGGATGGCATACTTAAAGGTTCACATCTTGATTATGGTTCTTGTATAGCAAATACTATTTTTAACTAACCTAGCACCTAGGGAAGTCTGAGTAAGAGTAGAATAATTGATTAGTAGATATCTGCTTATAGGTAAAGGGTTAGAATAACAATGTTGTGATTTTTCTCACTATTGTAATGTTAACACAATGTTTTCTGAAGATTGTATTTCTCCAAAAGGATACAAAATGAAATTTATAATTCTCCTAAAAATTTTGTTTAGAGCATCTACTATCCTATATTTCCAATACTATAAGCTGCTGTAAATATGTAACTCACATTATTAGATTTACCTTTTAAGAATATGCTACTAGTCATAATAACATAACTAACTGACCCTTAGAAAACTTGATTTGCAAACAAACTAAATGTATTTCTATGGAGGAACTAGGAAAAGATCACTTACTAGATTCAGGATCAGAGTTGCCATCCCCTTCAGTGCGGTTGTTTGGTGCCACATGATCAAAGTACTCCTCCTGAGGGTAGCCAAGAGGCAGGGCGCGGGATGTGCTAGGAAGGCGGCCTGCATCATGGTCTCCCATTCCACCATCACTGATACTTTCCTGAGAGCCTTCTGGTAGATGAAATGTGACACGTCGCTGGGACTGAAAGGAGCAAAGAAAATTACCAGGTTTGTGCAATATTCTGAATAATTATTTAATGAATTTAATTTATAAAATATATTATTTCATCTGGTAAAGCCACATAAAATTATCTTGCACTGTAAACAATTCCAGGCTTTTTTGAACAGGCAGATCTGTGTTCAAATCAGTTTCACTGGATAGCATTGTTGCCTCAGGAATATGTTTTAAGCAAGAGACTATTAGGATTTATGCTCTTTTAGCAAACTAGATAGAGTCATTTAACAGTATTTCACAACAATTTACCTTTAGATTCACACATATGAATAACACAGCTTTGATGCTTTTCTGTGAGATTCCAGAGAATTGAAACAGTGGTGACTTTATTCAATAATATGTAATTTAAAATTAAAAATTTACCATTTAGAATTATCCTATTGGCCAGGTTTTTGTTTGAATTCAAATACTTTTCTTTTATTACATAAAAGTAAAAATAGCCATGCACTATGTATAACTACTAAGGACAATTATAAAGATAAGCTATAAGAATTACTGTAAGTGATAACAACAGAATACAAAATGGCTAAATACGTTAAACCATAGAAAAAATGGAGCATAACACTTTGAATGTAAGAACCTTGTGAATTCTAGTAGCAAAAATATGCCAACCAGATGCAGCACCATTTTAGTTCTCAATAGTACTATTTTACACAGTAAATAGTGTACAAAGATAACCTCCTGAATGCATCAGATCTCACTTTCTGGTTTTCCCAATCCTAGAATTTGGACTCAATAATTCTGGGCTGGGGTAGTGTAATCAAACCTCTAATTCCTTCTTTACTGTCTTGGACTATTCATGATGTAGAAATCCAGCTATAATCTCAAATGTCTGAGTACAGGATGACCTATATATGCTATTAGGATGTCCAAACAAGAGAATTGGAATGACAACATTAAAAAAAGAAAAATATCCAAACTATTCAAGAATAGGGACAATAAATACTGTGACATTGTGATGAATTATTAGTAGACCGTTGATCTAAAGTCATCAGTGAAATATCTCTGCCAACTCTAGACTATTGAATGGCATTAATAGAGATGTCCTTCAACATATAACATTTCTTCTGCACACTGTCCTAATTTCTGATCTGCAAAATAAGAAAGTATTTGGGTTTACCATCCCGGCAAATTATATGTGAATCTAATCACTAAACTGTTAGCAACATAAAACATACAAATAAAACATAATTATTGAAGAGACTTTTATGAACCTAAGTCACTTAATTGGTATTATACATTTTTATGACAGAAAACAACAAATGTTTTCATAAATTCAGTTTATGTGTTCAGGAATTTCTTCAGATTAGTGAATATAAATGTTTTCCATCTGATAAGATAAAATATACAAATGTACATGCATATAGTACTCAGTTGCCGAATTTGCATCTGTTTTAATTTCAAATTCCAATGTTTAAAATAAAATACAAAATGATTAATGTGTAATATAATCTATTTAGTGTGCTTAATCATCAAATTTACCATTCATTCCAATATTAGTCTCTTGATATTCTTTTACAGCAATATAAAAAACTGGTACTTGCTCGAGTGGGTAGCTAACAGTGTTTGTTAAGTCATTCTTAGCAGAATTAACCCAAAGCAAACAAAACAACACAAAACACAGCTCACTACAAGGAAAACCTGGTAGTCTGTGGTGGCCCAATTTTAAATTTGACGCTACAGAGGCAGGCAATATCTGTGAGTATGAAGCCAGCCTGATCTACTTACCTTGTCCCAGGCTAGCCAAGGCTATATAGTACCGAGTGTGGGTCTGTCCAATCATCACCATCACTGTCACTCTCATATGTTTTAACAGTGAAATAAAGAAGAGTTTGGGGGAAATGGGTGCTTTTTCCTCCCTTTTTATATTGTATGTGTGGTTGCACAAACAAGTTGTATATAATGACATTGGATGATATATGATTAAACTTTACTATGCTTTCTATGATCTGTGCATTACTTAGGGAAATTTTTAAAGTGCAATCTTTCTGGGATTTTGCTCATCCCTACCATCTTTCTCTTCTTCTATACATCTAGGGCACAGTACATAATAAAGAGAGAAAAGAATAACAAAGACCAAAAAGTTTTCTATAATCTTCTTTACTATAAAGGCATAATTTGAATGTCACATTGATTTTAAATTCACGTTTATCGCTCATATCGCATATTGAGGTAGGTGTCAGTCACTCATTAATACTAAAGATATTTAGCAGGGGTTCATTGGCATAAATAATAATGTCTTATTCTTCAAAGCACAAAGTTTTATAATAGTTTACAGAAAGTAAAGCAGATGAAAATTTGAAGTTTAAAACATTATATAAGCTTTGATTTATATCTATCTATCTTTCTATCTATTTTTCTTTCATATAATACATCCTAACTGCAGTTTCCCTTCCCTCTTCTTCCAGTCTCCCCACACCTCCCCATTCCCCAAGATCCATTTCTCCTCTGTTTCCATGAGGGTATGTGCCTAATCTTATTGTAACTTGTTAAGCCTTGATATTCTTTTTTCTTTTTTGGTTTTTACGAGACAGGGTTTCTCTGTATTGTTTCGGAGGCTATCGGTCCAGCCCAGCCTCGAACTCAAAGAGATCTGCCTGCCTCTGCCTCCCGAGTGCTGGGATTAAAGGCGTGCGCCACCACCGCCCGGCAAGCATTGATATTCTTATGATAAAAATTAATACTATCAGCTTGTTGGTTTTGTTAAGAAATTCCTTGAAAACTGGTAGCAGTTTAATCTAGAAGACTCCTCAAAGAAAAATACACATTTTCTTTCCTGGCTAAAAATGTCCTTGAGCATCTGAGGAGCAAATGCTGTTAAAATTCTTTGGGGACTCTGACCTCTTCTCTGACTTCTAAATTCTTTTAAGGTAACCTCTTCAGAGAGACCAATTTTATGAGCAAAACATCCGTTTCAGGAGAGTAGGATCTCTAGTATAGCTAGAGACATAATAATCCAACAGGGCTGGTGAAGGCACCTCCTTTAGGAAGGCAGGCTCAATTTAATCCTTACAGAAACATAGGCAGGATAATTAGTTCTTTAATGAGATACTCAATGTTTCCTTTGCAGAATCCTCAACCCTAGAGCAGAAGCCAGCTTCCGAGGTCTCATGATGCAGGTTAGCTACCATGGAGATTGTAAATCAACTTGCATTTTTAATCTCAGAAAAGAAAACATCTTCCTCTCTAAGAATATTTACCTTAACCCTTTAGGATGTCCCCTAACATTTGGGGGTTCTTACTTCATTCTGTGAATCTACTTGTTCCATCACCATAAGGCCACCTTGACAGCTTAAATTACAGGTAATTCTTTTACTTCTATTCCATTTTCCTCTTTTGGGCAGGTGTAGAAGTTTTATACCTTGCCTGTCTGGGGATTTTTCTTTTAAAATGTAATAGAAATGTCCTTGGGCTTAAAAGAAACCAAATTGCTAAATCAAGTAATGGATAAAGTGTATGTATATTTTGACAATAAACAAAAAACATCATCTAGAACACCCGCTACAATGGTGATATTAAGTAGAAGAGAGATCTATTTTTTTAGTGAATTGTTCAATGGCAAAACATTATGCTTTCTGAGACATAGTCTATGACTTTACTCTCACCTCAGATTTCATCCTATAGTATAAGCACAGCTTTAGAAAATATAGACATTAGTAATTTTCCATTTGTTTGGTATAATCTGTATCTATCTATCTATCTATGTGTGTGTGAGAGTGCGTGTGCGCGCATGTGTGTGTGTGTGTGTGTGTGTATGGAAAGACTATATTTGTTTAAATGTTTAAAAAATTTCCTTGTTGGTCATAGTTTGCAGAAATCCTAATGGAGGCTAATTTTTTCATTCCAACAAAAGAGCTTTATAGCATTTTTCACTCACATGCACAGATTAGTTATAATCATTACTTTATCTTCAAGTAAAATCTGAAGATGTATATATTTCAGGCTGTTAAAAATTAAAGACCTTGGAAATTGGTTGAAATGCATACAAAATATTAATTAATAAAATTAATACATCATTAACTATTACACAAAAGTTAAAATCATTATACTTCCAAATAATCTAAATTAGCATAAAAATTTATTATTCATATTGAATAGATATTTAGAAAATATAAATTTCTGTAAATATGCAAGTATTTGTATGTTCCTGTGGTTGAATATCTTATTATATATTAGCATTTTAATATTATGATGAGTATATATTTGTCATTTAAGACCTTATGTTCAATAGATAAAAGAAAATATTGTTCATAGCAGCATTATTTGTAATAGCCAGAAATTGGAAGCAACCTATATGCCCCTCAACTGAAGAGTGGATAGAGAAAATGTGGTACATTTACACACACACACACACACACACACACACAAAACAATGGAATCCTGAAATTTGCAGGCAAATGGAAGGCACTAGATGAAACCATCCTAAGTGAGGTAACCCAGTCACAAAAAGAGAAATATGGGATGTACTCTCTCATATATGGATTTTAGACATAGATCTGTGGAATGCTAGCCTACAATCCCATGGCCAGATAATCTGGGGAACAGAACCTTCTTTCAATGGCTGATGGAAGCAGAGGCAGACTCCCATGGCTAAACACTGAGCTGAACTCAAGGAATCCAGTGACAGAGAGGGAGGACTGATGAGCAAAGGGGTTAAGACTGGGCTGGTTTAACCCCCAGAAACAGCTGACCTGACAAGGGTTAGCTCTTGAATCCCAGACTGATGGCTGGGAATCCAGCATGGGACTGATCAAGACCCCCTGAATGTGGGTGTCAGTGAGGAGGCCTAGGTAATCTATTGGGCCTTGAGTAGTAGATCAGTATTTATCCTGGGTATACAAATGGTCTTTGGGTGCCTATCCAACAATGAGAGACGCACTCTCACCCTGGACGCTTGGGAGATGGTCTAGGCCCTGCCCTGGATGAAATGACAGACTAGGGACACCCACATGGAGGGCCCCACCCTC